TGCTTGGTGGTGCTGGGGTCTGTACCCAGACAGCCTGGCTCCAGAAGCTCTGATTTTATTCATTCGCCTCTATAATCCGAGAGTGGATGAAAGGGGAGTATATAAGGGAATAAACTGAATGGAGGGAATGCCTCTCTTCTCTCCTTGAATTAATGAAGTGGCTCCACCACTCACTGGCTGTGGGACTTTGGACATGTTACCATGCCTCTTTTAAGTTTCAGTTTCCCTGTCTGTAAAATGGCCATAAATGGGCATAATAGGCCTACTTGTCTGGGTTATCATGGAGCTTCAGGGACCAGTACAATGCCTGCTGGCCCAGAGAAGGTTCCCTGTCCTGTCTTAACCATCTTGACTGATGGTCTCAGAGGACTCCTCCCAAAAAGGTCTTCAATTTGCAAACATTCTGGGCTTCCTGCCTGGAGCTGGAGGAATCTTCCCAGATGGGGAAACTGAGGCCTGGAGAAGTTGAGGCCATGGATGGTGGGTCCCCAGAACCTGCTTCTCATAACCTCTCTCTGCATTTGCTGATCTAATGTTGGGCTTTCTTGATCATCAGCTCACCAGGGTGGGAGTTCTGCCCAGAACACCCCCCACCAATCAATGGGCAGCAACTTCTCCTTCTTCAGAGGCAGACTGTGCCTCACTACACAGAATGGCTCTTCTGACCTCCTGGAAGGCTTGAGTAAGCATCTGATGACATTACCTGCCTCCTGTGAGCCCTGGGGGGACAGGACCCTGTCATTGCTCTACGGACAGAGCCCAGCACAGGGAATCACCAGGAGTATTTGATAAAAGAATGAATTAATATTATCAAGCAGTTAACTTAGGTGACCAAATGTCCTAGTTTGCCCAGGACTAAAGGGTTTTCTGGGATACAGGACTTTCAGTGCACATTTCAACCACAAATGCCTTGGGCAAACCAGGATGAGTTGGTCACCCTAAGCTACCACCATGTGACAGGCATTGGATTTAGCCTTTATAGTCACTGTTTGATCTAATCCTCATGTTTTAGGTCCGGGCCCTTGGGAGCAGAGCCTGAGCCAGGGATCCAGGTGCATGTGAATTACTTGAAGCAGTGCTCTCAGCAGGGAGTGAGGACGGAAGGAGGGTGGAGCAAAGCACCAGTGAGGCTGTGGTCCTGCATGGAGGCTGGCCTCAGCCTGGCCCCTCCAGGGAGTCTGGAGCTCAAAGAGCACCACAGAGTTGACCTCGGCTTGAGGCCAGGGGCCCCAGCCTGGAGAAAGGAGGCAGCCAGGGAGAGTGCACATGAGAAGGGGTAGCTGCTAGCAGCCACCATCCCTGCAGCCGGGGAACAACTGTCCTGTGGTGGGGATGGGGGGAGCCCCAGTGTCCACATAGCTATGGAGGGGAGTCCAGTATGATTATATACCTAATGACCTTTTTAATCTAAAACCACCCAGTGGTGCTCCACTGCACTGAGAATAAAATCCCAAGTCCTTCTGGGGGCTGCTGGCCTGTTTCTCTTCTCCCTCATCTCATTTTATTCAGCAGCCCTGGCCTCCTGTCTGGTCACCATGCACACGTGAAGCACGGCCAACATCCTTGCCATTTGCTGCCTCTGCCTAGACTCCCCTTGGCCCAGATCTATCTGGGGGCTCCTTCCCATCACTCAGATCTCAGCTCAAATGCCACCTCCTTGAATATTCGTGGCCATCCCACCAATATCCCCCAGCGCCCCTGGTCATGCTCCTCTTTGTGATTTGGGATTATTTTCTTCACTGCACTCAACATTGTCTGTAATTATTTATTCTCTTCAATTGCTTTGTGTCTGTCTCCATCTCCAGAATATAAATTCCATGAGGGCAGCATGCTTTTCTGTCCTTTACTGTATGGGCTCAATAAATATTTGTTGAATGAATGAACACATCCCCACTTACAGATTGTAAAATGGAGTCTCTGAAAAGTCATGGGACTTATATGCAAAGTCACCTGCTGCTGAGTGGCAGAGCCAGAAATCAAACCAGGAGACCCCAAGCTTGTGCCCTGAACCACCTCCTTTGCTTCAGGCCAGGCCCCCATGATAGAGATGGTGTCTGACTGTGTACTGAGGGCTCCCCAGCTCCTGGCTCAAGGCCTGGCCCAAAACAGGGGCTGGCAGATATGTGAGGAGTGGATGAGTTACAGGACCACAGATGAGCAACCCTTCTTGGCTTCTTGGAAGGGGCAGCTGAGGCTGTCTGTGCCCGGCCTGCATTTCCTGGGCCCTTCAGCTCACATTGCCGTCCTACGTTCAGAATGCATTAGCTGGCTCTGCGGGGTGGGGTGGCGGGTACTGTCTGCCTCGGTGATCAATGTGAATAATAAACGTTTAGAGTTAATAAGCTCCAGTTAACTTCTCTCGCTTCAGTGACTAATGGGCTTCCCGGAGCCCATAACTCATGCTGTCGCTCGCCTCCCTTCCCTCCGTGGCTGCCCTGGACCCAGCCTGCTGGGAGATGTTGCTGAGGGAGGAGGAGGGACCTGGCTTGGCCGAGGTTTTATTTATGGCAGTGAACATGCTTTTGGGGTGCAGCAGGGTCTTTCTGGGGGGTTCTGACTCCAGAGAGAAGATACTTGGGGGTGAGGGAGGTTGGCGATCCATCTGCCATCCAGGCCCACCTCTGCCGTTGGCAGCTAGGGGACCATGGTCATGTCCTTTGCCCTCTTGGACCTCCAGTTCCTTACCCGTCAAGGAAGATAATAATAATAACCTGGGCTACTCCAAGAATCAAATGATATGATGGACATAAAAGTGCTGGACAGTGGGCAGGGGTCGATCAGTTCTGTTTGCAAATGTGTGACAAGTTAAGATAGAAGAGAAGGTGGTGTGAATGGAGATTTCCAAGATCCTTGCCCAGAGGACCAGCAGCATAGGCACCCACTGGGGCTTGCTAGAAATGCAGAATCTTGGGCCCTGCTCAGACATTACTGGACCTTAATCTGTGTATTAATAAAGTAAGTGATTCTAGTGCATATTTCAGTCAGGGAATCCTGCCCTAGACCAAGCATGGCCATTCAGTAACTTTGGTACACCTGGTCCCCAATCCCCTGCCAAAAGCAGACATTGCTAATCAATTGTAGAACTCTTCCTAGTGGAGCCTAGAAATAGCCTCAGAGTCCCTACAAAGCAACCTCTGTCACTGTTCAGAGCTGGCGGGCAAGACAAGAACTGGTGGTTGTCCTAGGCCTGCCCCTGGACCCCCAAATATCTGACCAAGATGAGGAAACTCAGCCCAGTCTCTTCTGAAGTTTTGGGAACCAGTACCATTCACAGGACAGGGAAGGCTGGATGAGGCACGGGAGAGGCAGATAAGGGAAACAGAGGCAGGGAAACCCCAGGAGGCTCAGTGAGCAGTGGGGTTCCCGCTAGTGTGAGGGTGAGAAGCAGACACTTGCATGTCCCCTGGAAGGCCCAAGAAGGAAGCCCGTGGTGAGCCGGACGCCCAGTTCGGCACGGGAAGGACAGCCTCCCACCCTTTTGCCCTTTGTTCATTACAATGACATGCCGGGCCACCCTCTTTAAGAACCTCCTCAAAATGACTTGTAAGGAAAAGTATTTGCTATTTAAATTATTAGACCTATAAAAACTTGTTAAAGTCAAATAATATGAGGTGACAAAAAGTATAATAATCTTGCTCCCAGCAATCCTCTTGTCCTGGGGTTACTGGGGTTAGGGGTCAGTGAATATTTCTTTATAGTTAACCCTTTCAAACCTACTTACAAAAATAAGATCCATATACCTGACTTTGCAACCAGATTCTTGCCTAATAATAGATCATAAACACAGTTCCAGATCCATACATAGCTACCTACATTCATACATTAATTTTTGTCAGCAGCCTACTATTTTATAGAATAAATGTCCCAAGATTCCTTCATTCATTGCCCTACTGATTGACATTTAGTACATTCTTTTTTTTTTTTTGCAACAAACACCCTTATATATATCATCTTATGCGTATGTGTGGTTTTGCAGGATAAATTCTCCCAAGTAGGTTTACCAGATCAAAGGGCATGTGCATTTTAAACTTTAATAGAAAGTGCAAATTACTGTCCCAAAAGATTCTGGCAGCTCACACTCCCACCAGCAGTGTCAAAACTGCTTGACTGCCCTGCTTCTTGCTGGCACTGGATGTCATCAATATTTAATATTTTTTTCTAATCTGATGGGATAAAAAATGGCATCTCATTGTTCTTTTAATTTGTATTTCCACAAGTACCGAAGAGGTTGAGCCTCTTTTCATTTGTTTATTGGCTGTTTGCAATTCTCCAGTGAGCTGCCTGATCATATTTTTTGCCCATATTTCTCTTTGTTGTTGTTGTATATTTTTCTTATAGATTTTTAGGCATTCTTTGTATGTTAATATTAACTCTTTGTCTGTCTCATATCATATGTGGTCCACCTCTGTACCAAAAAAATTTCTGCAGGCTGCATGGATAGAATTCCATGAGCTGAAACAATAGGAATAAATGCAAATTCCTGGTCCTGGATCTGCAAGCCCGCACCACCCTAGGCTGGAGGAGACAGGGCTTGTGGGCCATACAGGGAGTCAGCAGGCATTAGCTCAGTAGGAGGTAGCAGTGGGATACAGCTGCTAAAGCAGCTAAAGCGGGGACTTAGGTGCAATTGGAAAGATAGAGGGTTTAGAAATACACTGCCCACTTTTGGGAAAGGAGGTCAGCTCTGAGCTCTGGAGCAGTGTGAGTAGGGGGCTGGCTGGAGCCCTCTTCCAATGAATAGCTGGCCTGCTCAACCTGGAAAAGAGCGGGGCTGTCCCAGGACAGGGGAGCAGATGGGCTGCAGGCCCAGGGGGCAGAGTGGGCGCCCAGGGAGTTGGCTGCCAGCTGAGAGTAAGGAGGAATTTTCTGCTTAACTCCCTGTTTTTAAAATTCTGACGCACCTCCTACTCCTTTCCCCGCTTCGTCTTCTCACAGTGCTTGCGATTTCTAACATACTGTGAATATAATTAATTATGCGTCTGTCTGTGTCTCTTCACCAGAATGTCAGCTCCGGGAGCAGTTTTGTCTGGTTTGTTCACTCCTGTGTCCCCTCCAGAAGCCTTGTTGTTGCCTTCCCCAGTCCGAGCTGTGCAGAAACGGGATGGGCTGACCAACAGGTAGGTAGTTCCCCATTGGGAGGGGTGAGCGAGCAGAATCTGCTGCCCACCAGCAGGCTTTCTGCGCAGGGCATCCCCTGTGCGCCTGCAGTCCTCTCATCAAGGTGGGGTCCGGAAGGGCCTTTGGATCAACAGGAGACCCCCTAGGCCTCCCAGTGCTGCCAGGGGCCCGCGAGTCGCCAGCTGGGACACCGGAGCGCTCCAACTGGGTCAGCCTCTGTTTACGTCCTCCTCCTAGCCCATCCTGAGCCCGGCCCCACCCCCAGCCAGCCCCCGACTCCCCCCTCAGCTTGAAGGCCTCATGTTTTGGAAAATCAGCCAGCATCACAGCAGACTGGAAATACCTCAAACCCCCCCCTTGCGACTTCCTTCTGCTCCTGGAGGCCACTGCCGGGGCGGGCAGCAGCCTCTCCCATGCTGTTGGTTTGCAAGAAAGGCTCTTCCATCCCTGGAACACAGGGAATTTCCAGTATTTTTCTTCCTCTGCTGTTTTTTTTTTTTTTTTTT